TGTTTTATGTTTTTAACTGGCTCACTTTTTTAAATTTGTCAAACCTTTCTTTGAGGAAGTAAGAAAGGAGTTGCAGAGCTCTTTCAGAACAAAGAAAAATAATGCTTAGTGTTTTTGTATTATTTTAAAAATACAAGCATATTAAAAGACAGCTAAGACCATCAGTCTTCAGAAAAATCACAGAATACAGGAGCATTAAAAAAAAAGTATAGGAGAAGGCTGCTGAACTATTTAACACTGTGAAAGAATACTTATGGTTCAGTCTAGAAAGATGACTTTTGTGACATTGGCTTTTCTGTCTTGAACTACCATGTAAGCCTGTCTCAAGAGAAAAGATTTGGATGCACTCAGCACAAAGAGGAGGTAGAAGGCAGTAGAAGAGTATTAGGTGACACAACAGCCTAGAGGCACTCTGGAGTTTGTTGATAATCTGGGTGTATGCTAATGATAGCGAGCAAGGCATGCAGAGCCAGGTAGCTATTTCTAACTTAACACGAGAAGTTGAAAACAGGAGGCCTAGACACTGAAACTGCTCAGCAAAATGCAGAGGGCCAAACTCACTCAGTCTGTATTCTTGCCTGTGGGAAATCAGCGTTGGGGAAAGGCTTTTCCAATTTCTTCTGACATCCTGTTCAGAGAAAGTGCAGCTTCCCTTCAGTCCTGGCATCTAGAGCAGCCCAACTAGCAGCTCAGAGGATGAAGTGAGACAGTGGTACCACTCATTTCATCCTGCTTCTACACAAGAGCAATCTGCAGCCCTGTTGTCTGCTTTCAAGTGGCACAGGAGGCAATAGCTTAAGTTTCTCCTCTTGTAATCTTTTGCAAAGGCTTGGATCTCTGCAAACGCTGCCCACTTGTGACAAAGCCACGTGTATACCCCTTCTAGGTCCACTGTGTGTCTACAGGCAAACCAAAGGAAACCCAAGCCAAGTCTAGTCCACATTTTCTAGCTGACAAGCTAAGTTTCTGGTAATGGCCAGGTACTAAAATGGTAAATTAAGTTTATTTCACTGATATGTGAGCTTGCTCCTCCTTACATTGGTTCATGAGTTTCTTCACACATGCACAGATAGCATCTTCATTCAAACCAACTAGGATGGCCTTCTCTTCTTGTGCCTTGACAGATATATATAGAAGTCAGATAGTTTGCCAATAGTATGGAGGAGTCACTGTTAAGCTATCTGGCCTCTAAGTTGATTTCAATGCAAGACTATCACAGTGAGACTCCAGACTGAGAGAGGTGCCCACAGCTCCTTTGCTTATGTCTATTTGTGCAAACACATTTAGTTCTGATGACTGAAAAGCTGTTTCTGTGTTATGATGTACTGCTTAGTGAGTAAAACTAGGAAGCTTACGAGGATATTTCAATGGAAGTTTATTTTGTGCTCTCTCTGCATTAATGGCAGCACACTATTGAAGATGGCTAGAAGCATGAGAGGTCACGGTGATTGGAGTGAGGGCTGTAATACATAGGATTCTTGTGATCCCTGTCCTAAATCTAGTCAATTTTTCTTCTATGTACGAATATGCAGTGTAATGCAATAATATGAGGTTCTCTACAGCATCTTAGAACATAATAGTTCTGGACAATGCTTAATGAGGTTGTTGCCTGTAGATGGCTGTTGGGCTCTGCCCTGTCTCCCTCTTTCTGGTGAGTCAAAAGAGAAAAACTGGTTTGCAGTGACTCCAGAGACTTCCCAAATCTTCCTAGCAACACCATGTTGAAAAACTTCTTAAAGGAGAACTTTCTCATGGAAGTGGTTCATCTCATTTTCTGAAAGTCCTTTGTGTTTAGAAGCTTTCTCAGGAGTGGACAGGATTTTTAAAACTGGTGCCCCGGTGAAATTTGTGTATTGATAGGATCAATGTGACTTGGGACAAAAATCTGTGAATCTGCATCTGTGGATCACAACACATCTTAGGAGGTCCACAGAAACCTCAGTGGGAAGCATTTAGGCTTGACATCTACCACTGGCACTAAATATAACCTTCTGGTAAACACTGTAACTTCAAGGGCTTTGTGGCTGATCACGTTGAACTCCAGGACAGGCAGTGAGAGAGTAGGGGGAAAAACAGGAACATTAAAAGAAACCTAGGGGGCAGGGAAGCATTTGAAAGCTGGTGGAGAGAATGGCACGGATTTTAGTGACTAATGTTTTCTGGTTCAAGGGTTTGCCAATTTAATCAAGATGAAGCATTCATAAGGCTGAGATAGCTTAACCACTAGTGTGCCAGACACAAGAAACTATGGATTACCTTAGCACGTTCTAAGAGAGAACAGAGATGCTGCTCTCTTGGCTGTTCCATCTTGTTTCTCCTGCTTTAAACAGGATAATTAGCATTCTCTGCACTATGTTTTTTGGACATTTGAGCACTGAAATTCAGTTATAGCTATTAGAGGGAGTTCATACGGTGCACCAAACAGCTGGAAAATAGTACCAGCTTTTAGTCTCTACTAATGTGGGCTGGATTTGACCCAACAGTACTTGGAAGTCTCAATCTCTTTACCACACCATAAACTCACGATAAGCCTTTAGTTTCTGAGCACAGTAACAGCCAAGGACAAGCAAGTTTCTAAGACATGTCATAAACTGCGCTATTCAGGTATCTCTAGTATTATCATCAGTATATTCTAGCCTGCAGAGTGTTCTTAGCCTTCAGTTCACCCCTAAATACCAGATAATCTAGTTATACAGCACATGGAAGAAGTTCTACTCCCTAGCAGAAGTTCTTGATTGTTTCTTTGTAAACAGGTTTGGGAGTTATTAGGGTAGCTGTTTAAAGCTCCTTGCACGTGTACTTGGAGCACTTTCACCACTGTTTGGTGAGGTGATAGCCATTGCCCACCCATTTGACAAATGGACAGACTGACATACGTTAACTAGCTCAGGAACACTGGAAATTGGAGGAAACCCAAGACCCTTGTTCTATGTCAGTAAAACCCATTATGTGATTTGTAAACACAAACATTTGCCAGTCCTGGAATTCATCACTTGTTCTGTTAGAGGAACTCCTAGTGTCATATGAACTCTTTTCAAGCCTGTCACGTTTTTTTGTTTTGTTTTTTTTTTAAGAAATAAAGAACAACAAACCCCTTAGAAGACATTCTGCAAGAGGAGTAAGAGACATTTAAGCCTGTTTCAAATTCAATCCAAACAGAGACAGACCTGTTGCCAATGAAGAGGGAAACTTGGCAGCTTTGTTTAAAGCTTCCCACACAGACACTGGAGACTGAAGAAAACAAAGAAGCTGTAGTCCTCGAGGGTCCTGCCACTCCCAGGGCAAAATAAGTCCCTTCCCTGCTTTTCCTCTAGTTCTCAGAGACACGTACATGCTCTCTTCTCTCAGTGCCATTAACTACAGCAATAACCAATTAAGCCTTACAGACCTAGAAAAAATACAGGAAATGAAGAGTTAAAAAAAACCCAACACACCAGAGAACTTGGAGGCAAGCCAGCGTCCCCGAATGACTCTGCTCAGCAGCAGCCTGGAGCGACGCTCCCCACCAGCCCTGCCTCCTCCCTCCTCAGGGAGGGCACAGACCAGTCCTCTCATTATCAGGGACAGGAGTTCATGTTCTTAGTCTCTAGTGGTTTGGGAGCCCAGAAATATTGCTAGATTTGTTTTCACTTTTAGGGGAATGGCAGAAAAGGTAAAAACCTCGAAATTAATGGAGACAGTTCCCTGCAAGCCAAGGGGAAGTATCTTTTCTGCATAACTCCCAAGGAGGCAAAAAGCAGTTACACGGTGCAAAACAGGGCAGGCTGCTTGGGGTGCCAGGAACATGCTGTTCCTTTGGCTGTGCAACACAGCCATCCATATGCTCAAAACTTGATGGGAGCTTTCTTCTCTCCTATGGAGAGGAAAACATACCCTCCAATTAGAAGAGCTCTTGATTTATCTCAGGAAGGCAGCATGAAAAGCGGGAGGGACGCTGAAGAGGTGTGGGTGGGGTGCCACTTCTATTCTGAGAATCTTTTTCTTCATGCTCTTTATAAGTGAACTGACCATAGTTCTTAGTAAATTACTCAGGGGAGCAGCTTGCACAAGCTTGCCGTAAGTCAGTGTGGTGCCTTGTCATATGTGCTGTGATTAGGGCCTTCAGCAGAGATCAGTCTCAAGTTTTGGTGCTCTCAGTCTGGCTGGAAGCTGCCCTGTTCCCCAGCACAAGGTCTAGCAAGTCATGGGGCCTGTTTCAAGATGGTCCTCCTAGTACTTCCGTGCATAACTTTCAGAGCACTTGCAAGTCTTCCACACTTTTTCTGTGTGTCTCATAAATTACAATAGCAACAAAAGTGCCGAGATAAGGCTTAATGAAGAAGTAAACACTGAACATTGGTCAGAACAAGTTAGTGTTTGCATTAAAATGCTTTTTGTTTTGAAATTTGTTTTATTCAGCTGCCGAAAGCTTTTTTGAGACTGCCCGTGTCCCCCTCTCTCTACACTGAAATGCCTCCTTGTAACTCGTGTTCAGCCCCTCATCTGCCTTCCTGCCTACTCTAACTTCCACACAAGTGTCTGCTAAAGGAAGAAACAGACACACAGTCATTCAGGTGCCTCTAAAACATTTAATTTTAATATGCCAAGAGTGTTGATGCTTTTATGGGCAGTGGTAAACTGGTAAAAAGGTAGTGACCAGAACATGGAGTAGGAAAAAGGAGATGGGGAGGGTAAGAAGCACTAGAAAGGGAAGTAGAAGATACACCAAACAAGAAGGCTAGCAGCTAAAAATTACAGCTCTGTACGATCCACACAGCCGACTCACGCACAGTTCCCTGTGACATTCAGTAATAAAAAGGGCAACATTAGCTTTCAATCTAAGCCCAGCAGGGGTTTATTCCCAGAGGGATGTTTTGTTGTTGTTTGGTTTTCCCAAGCCTGAGTTCTGAGAGGTGAACCATAATGGTGGCCAAATACAAGTTTGTTTGGTTTTGTTTTTTCAACATCCATTTTAATTACCAAGCTGTAACAAATAAACCTCTGGCTGGATTGTAACTAACCTGTGTGGGTCCTTAGATGAGCTTTAAGATGGGAAGATTTGCCATAAACTTTTTCACACCCCACATAGTGGCATTTGTGCTTTTTCTGGGGTGATCCAGGGTCAGTCCAGCTTCTCGTGCGTTTGTTCTTTTGTCTGGGGCTTGGCTCAGTTACTGCAGCCAGGCTAGTAGGTGTGGCTGCTCTTCCTCCTCCACGCTTACCAGCCGAAGAGACACGTTCTTCCCCAAACTCCTTAGGAGCGATAGAAACGTGTATTTGTTCTGTGATATCAAAGGTCTCTGTTTTTTCCATCCTTAGAGCAGGTGAGTTTGGGACATGCTGGTTCAGATCTGCTAAAATGCCAGCTACCACAAGTAATGATGATCCATTGTCTTTCCCGGGTTCTCTGACTTCCCGCTCATCTTCTCCATTTGATGAAGGAGGTGCTCCTGCATCAGGCTGGGGGTCAGCCTCCACTTTGGGACTATGGATAATAGCACGACTGGACATAGAAACAAGGCACTCTGCTGCAAAATGATCCACATATGCTGCTGTTGCCATTTTTCATAAGTTTAAAAAGAAATCCAAACAGAAGAGGAAAAAAACAACCCAAGAACAAAACAGAAAAAAAAACCAACCCAAAACAACCCCACGATACTGCTTTCCCTTTTAAAAAAGACTGTGAGCACACTTTCCCCTTATTTTCTTAGGATCTCCTTGAAGAAGTAAAGGCTGATTTAGCAGCCATCAAACCCACACTTTTTGTTCGTGACGATCACACCCAGCTTATCCCTAAATAAAAAAATAATTTTTAAAAAGCGTTACAAGTCCACTGGAAGAGAAAAAGAAGAGCAAGTAAATCCTGGCAGTGGCAGCTCGCTGCTGGGCGCGTGGGTCAGTGCTGCTTTTTCGAGAAGGCAAGATCAAGACGCGGCTTCCCCAGCCCTTCCATCGCGCGGTGACAGTAGAATAAGCCGTGCCCGTTATCGCGGCTCCGAGTGGCCGGGACCCCTGCGGGGGCGTGTCCCGGGGAGCACATCTGGGCCCGGCGTCACGGCCAAGCCACATCCTGCGCCACGGGCGGGCGGGGCCGCGCCGGGCAGGGCCCCCGCCAA